CACCTAGACATGAACCATAACACCATGTATAACCATTCTGAGTATTTCAACAAATTTCATGTTTGACATTTATAGGTCAAGGATAATATTGATCCTTGCAGTAACTCCCAAAGAGAAGGATTATTGTTTTTGTTGTTGTTGTTATTATTATTATTATTATTATTATTGTTTGAGCAAAAATGTAAGGTGCATAACGCTTACGTGACACGTTCAGAGTTGTATAACTAATTAAGAACAGAAGGAGCACATATAGCTGTATGAGTAAAACATCGAACCATGTCACATTTATCTCTGCTGTGCATAAGGACTGAAGTAACCAAGAGAAACTAACAGCAGAAAATTTTCATCTCATAAATTTCCATAGTAATTTCAGAACTCAGTTATAAACTAAATTGTAAAATACCAGATGGACTCTTATTATACACTTGCCATAGTAAGGCATAAAGTCCTTTGAAGGTCATATTAATTGTTTAGTCTGTTGTGATCATGTTGTTTCATCAGCGTTGTCCCAATTATGGCCTTAATAATACCCTGTGGTGCCAGGATAGAAGGAAAAGCTTTTACAGCAATTTAGACAGCAAAGAGACAAAGGCTGGTGGAAAGAGATGCCTTTCATGACAAAGGAATGGCTGTTAGTCCTGCGTAATATCTTTATCGCCCTGGAATTAGAGTGCTACTCTTCAAATACTTGTGCTCCTTTCTAAGATGAATGATTTCTATTTTAAATAACAGAGTCTGCATAACTTCCAAATATTTTTTTTTCTGAAAAACCAGGAGCTCTCATTGCAATTAAGTATGTTAATATCACATACCTTTACTGCTTTTCCTATGAGTTCACGTTCTCTACTATGATCTGTCTTAGGTAGCTACCTCTAGACAGTTGATCACTATGCTGATGCCTAACAATTTCATATACTACTTGATAAAGTATAATTCTTCAAAGAGGAAGGGAAACAGAGACAGAAGCCCAAACCAAAAAGGGAGAATGTCGATTTTTGTCATAGATTATTTGCTCACCAGCCTTGTGATCAAGAAGAAATTGATTAGCCTCCTTTATACCATCAAATTTCTTCTTCATATAGAGATGATAGAACATTTCATGCATTTCTATAATTGCTACTATTTTGTGAGATAATATGTATTTGTGGTAGAGAACAGTGCAAAGCAGCTCTGAGCAGGATTTAAAATTAACCAATTGGCTTTGCATGCTTTCTTGTAAGTCTCTCCAAGGCCTAGGTCCCATGTACGGAGATGGGAAGTGGATTTATGGTAAGTGAATTTTATGAATCTCTACCCCTAGCTGAGGCCTGTAGTGGTCTGTGATGTCATGATGCCTCAAAGGACAAAGCAAGAACAGCTGAGGACACCTGGCTCTAACCTCAATTAACTAGAGAAAAATACTATTGCCTCAGGCATCTCACTAGTGGGCTGAAAGTCTTCCTAAAGTTAGTATAGTTCTCCTAAATTAGCACAATTTTTCCTTGGAGAAGTCCTTGAACTGACTTCCAAGGTCCTGCTCAGTTACCCTGATTTCCTCAGTATCTTCCTCTTTTATCTGAAAACTAAATAAAGGCAGCCTGCCCAGAGAGGTTCTTGGTCTCATCCCCCAGAAAATACCAAATTCTTCTAAAGGGTTGTAATTGTCCTAGAGCCCTAAAATCAAACCACTTGTGTCTTTATTTGAGCCTTTGCTTTCTACTTATTTAGAAGGTTGTGGGCCTGATTAGTCCATGATATATTTGAAAGACACAAGACTGAATTTTCCTTTAATGATTTTATATTGAAAGAGTAATGTATGTCATTGGTTAAAAAAGAGTGAAGGGGCTGGGGGGATAGTTCAGTGGAATAAGTGCTTGCCTGGCAAGCACAAGGTCCTGAGTTCGATCCCCAGTACTATCAAAGAGAGAGAGAAGACAGAGAGAGAGAGAGAGAGAGAGAGAGAGAGAGAGAGAGAGAGAGAGAGAGAGAACAAAAGAAAATATACTTATAGAGGAAGAGATAGAATAAGAATCAAATAGCTCAGTTAGTGTAAATTATGTGGAATAATTATTAACTACTACTAATTATAACAAGAACCAGATAACTATGGATAAATATCTTACTTTTCTATTTTAATCAGTAAAACAAGAGATCAAACTACCAGATTTCAAACACACATTTTCCAATTTCAATTTTGTTTGTTATTTCAAGAAGATATTTACAAATATTTTATGAAAACTAGACTATCACTCTAAACTTTATCAAAGGAAATGTGAAATAATACTCCAGTGTCAAATATGATATTTAACAACTGACATTTTTAATCAGAGTTAATTAAAATTAACATTTCATGAAACATATACAAACAGTTCAGTTGCAAAATGTCCATGAATTTGTATGGCAAACAGAAAAAAGTGGTGCATATAAATAAGTGAGAAGTTTGATTTTTACAGTTATGTTGGCTATTAGGATTTGTTGGAATGATAGTAAGCATAGTGAAATTATTTTGTGGGAATAAGTTGGAGGAATAAGAGCAAGAAAATATAAGAATTTTACTACTGAATGTGAGTTCCATTCTGTTGACTTCTCCTGATTAAATTCTTCAATGCTTCCTAATGTTTCTCTCTGTGGAGATAAAATACATATACATACATACATACACATGCACAACATCATAGACTGACCTTACTGTACAAAATAATTATATCCTATAATATATATATTTTTTTTTAATTTAAATTTTTTTCTTTTTGTTTTTGGAATCGGGGATTGAACTCAGGGCCTTGGGCTTTCCAGGGAAGCGATTATTCCACTGAGCCATCTCCCTGACCCATAATAATTTTTTTTGTTTTTTGCATTTATCTTATAGTATCCTAATGTATAGGTCTCTCTACCAAAGATAGGACTCATTCATTTAATAGCTATATAACATGCCCGTATAAGAATATTCTGTAATATACTTAACAATTCTCTATTAATCATCAAGTTTAATATTTCAAGTTTCACTGCTATAACGGAATTATCTAATGAACATTTTTAGTTATTTCTATGAATGTAGCTGAGAAACAAGTCCCAAGGTATGGAATTCTCAAGTAACATGTTTCCTAATAGATTTAAGGTTTTATATATATTCAATTCAATTTATGTAAAATTTTCATAGACACAAACAAATTTTCCTTCATTGAAGTTAGGTCCATATACATACTGAAAACATTTAAGACTACTTAAGTATTTCTAGTGTAGGTAAAGAAAAAAAATACTTCATTTGTTTTTGTTTATAATTTAAAATTATGAGATTCAGTACTTCTTACATATTTAAAAATCTTTAACATTTTTTATTCATCTAACTAGCACACCAATATTTTAGATTATTAAACTTTTGTTTTTCTTTTTTTCCAAGCACTATTATATTAAGAAAAACATGAGTACTTTTTATGTAGATATGTTGCAAACATTTTTTACTATTTATTTTAGTTTATTTTTTGTACATCAATTTTAAATGATTATATAGCACTTAGCTACATTTTTCTACATGGTTCATAAAGTTTTGGAGTCTTATTATAGCCAAGTCCCTGATCAAAGGGTAGAGTTTATATTTTAAAATCCTTGAAGATAATTTGCCTTCCAAATAAAAATAAACCATTTGTTTAAACATTATTTGTGTCACTAGTATGCAAATTTTCTACATAGATATCAAAGGTACTGTTACCCCTGTAACCTAAAACATTGTTTGCAATTAGTGCCATCAGAAAATGTTTCAGAATTTTGAACTGAAAAAAAAATTTTCTCTGTACGTAATCCTTTTCCTGCCAATGGCTCACAGTAATTTTCACTAGAGGGGTGGAGCTTGGACCAGCTGTTCCCTCAGATTTCTCCTCTCCAGAAATGTGTCACAGCTTTTCTGATGAGTGATAATCTTCCTGTCCTGAATTCCTGCCACATTTTACTCACCTGCCACCTGATTTTGACATGATTATTTGAAAACTGGTGATGATAATTTATTTAAGTGCAACAGGCTTAGAGAGCGAACTTAAGCTCAATAATCAGGTTTTTGTCAGTCTATCTTTGTCAGTGGAGCTTTGGTCCTCACAGGCAAGGACCCTGTCTTAATCACCACTGGGAGCTCAGAATAAGTCACGGTGCCTTAATGGAGCCGCTCCATAGATACATGAGGACAAAGTGGAAGAAAGACTGAACACATTTAAGTTTCACAGCAGTCTCATCTCTATCACTAACGTGGCATAAGGTCTTATATTATTTTCTTCTTCTTTTTGGGCCACAATTTTCTCTTCAATAAAACTGAAGGTTTGGCAGAAAGCATAACAACATAAACTATTTAATAGCAGTTTGAAAAAGAAAGCTTTCAAAAATGAGTGCAACCCTATCAGGATTTAAGAAATGATTATTTTGTAAGATAAGGCATATTGGAAATGCTACTGTGAATGCTAAACGAATACAATTCCAAAGCAGAGATCAGATAAAATAATTTTCACTGGGGAAGTAGATTGGAAAATAAAGCATCTAACTTTTTATGTTTTTATTATCCCCATTAATGATTTTATGCAGAAGCTTTGGGGTGACCAGGACAAAACGGCTATTGACTATAAAACTCACACATTCAGTTTTATGTTTTCTCCCATAATTGTGTCCTTTCACTGCTTTATTAATTCCTATGTCCTTTCTAGAAATCTCTGGATGCTTTGGAAAGTTTTATACATAATTTTGTTTTATTTAGTTCAACTTATCAGGATTATGGTCTGTTTATTGATGGAAGGGATAAGTAGAAGATGATATTTATATCTATATGTGGTCACATTCACTATGTTATTGAACTTTGCCAGCTTCAGAGATCCTCTTGAGTCTTCTATGTAAAGTTTTTGCCTTTTAAATAGGGAATTCTACAGTAAACATGCAAAAGAAAGAACATTGTGAGTCAAAAGCAGTTGAAAAGGAATAAACCAGATGAATTTTACAACAATGTTCATATTGTATTTGTTAATTTTTTTTCTATCTCCTTACAGGTTTAAATGCTTATTTGGCTACTTGTCTACTGAATACAAAATGAATAACTCGACAAACTCCTCCAATAATAGCCTGGCTATTACCAGTCCTTATAAGACATTTGAAGTTGTATTTATTGTCCTTGTGGCTGGATCTCTCAGCCTGGTGACTATTATTGGGAACATCCTGGTCATGGTTTCCATTAAAGTCAACCGCCACCTGCAGACCGTCAACAATTACTTTTTGTTCAGCTTGGCCTGTGCTGACCTCATCATAGGTGTTTTCTCCATGAACTTGTATACCCTCTACACTGTGATTGGCTACTGGCCTCTGGGACCTGTGGTGTGTGACCTCTGGTTAGCTCTGGACTACGTGGTCAGCAATGCCTCAGTCATGAACCTGCTCATCATCAGCTTTGACAGGTACTTCTGTGTCACGAAACCTTTAACCTATCCAGTTAAGCGGACCACAAAAATGGCAGGAATGATGATTGCAGCAGCCTGGGTCCTCTCCTTCATCCTCTGGGCTCCAGCCATCCTCTTCTGGCAGTTCATCGTAGGGGTGAGAACTGTGGAGGATGGGGAATGCTACATTCAGTTTTTTTCCAATGCTGCTGTCACCTTTGGCACTGCCATTGCGGCCTTCTACTTGCCAGTAATTATCATGACTGTGTTGTATTGGCATATATCCCGAGCCAGCAAGAGCAGGATAAAGAAAGAGAAGAAGGAGCCTGTGGCCAATCAAGATCCAGTGTCGCCAAGTCTGGTGCAAGGAAGAATAGTGAAGCCAAATAACAACGAAATGCCTGGCAGTGATGGTGCCCTGGAACACAACAAAATTCAGAATGGCAAGGCCCCCAGAGGTGCTGTGACAGAAAACTGCATCCAGGGGGAGGAGAAGGAGAGCTCCAATGACTCCACCTCAGTCAGTGCTGTTGCCTCTAATATGAGAGATGACGAAATAACCCAGGACGAGAACACAATATCCACTTCCCTGGGCCATTCTAAAGATGAGAACTCTAAGCAGACATGCATTAAAATCGTCACCAAGATGCAAAAAGGTGACTCATGCACACCGAGTCATACTACCGTGGAGGTAGTTGGGTCTTCAGGCCAGAATGGAGATGAAAAGCAGAACATTGTGGCCCGCAAGATTGTGAAGATGACTAAACAACCCGCGAAGAAGAAGCCTCCTCCTTCCCGGGAAAAGAAAGTGACCAGGACAATCTTGGCTATTCTTCTGGCTTTCATCATCACCTGGGCCCCCTACAATGTCATGGTGCTCATTAACACCTTCTGTGCACCCTGCATTCCCAACACAGTGTGGACAATTGGCTACTGGCTCTGTTACATCAATAGCACCATCAACCCTGCCTGCTACGCACTTTGCAATGCCACCTTCAAGAAGACCTTTAAACATCTCCTCATGTGTCATTATAAAAACATAGGCGCTACAAGGTAAAAACGGTCTTGCACAGAAGGAAGGTGACCAAAGGGAACTTGAGAAGGATAACAAAGATGAAAGAGCTCCCAGGTTTAAAATCTCTGCCATTTTACTTTATGGTCTCATTATGGAATGTGTGATTAACGAGCTCAACTGTGACACTCCACTTGTGCCCATGAGTTAGTCTGAAAAATCTTGTACCTTATAAACCCAGTCAGTTTGGAGCAACAGGACAATGAGATACGTTGGCATTGCTGATATAAGGAGCATGCTCCACTGTCTCCTACTTTCTTGAGAAGGGCTTCTGAATCTACAGTTTTACCAGTCTCTGCACAAGAATAATGTCAGTCCCTTTTTGTTTCTCTCTGTTGTTGTTCTCATGGGTGTGCATGAGGATGAAATGCCACAGCTGCAGGCTGACATGGAGAAATGGACACAAAGAAGTGGAAGCTACACAAGGGAGATGTGAGACAATCAGCCAAAAGGCTGCAGACATGGGCTCCAGGGTATTCAGCATCCTCTGTTCTGTTTGTGTGATATGATTTGCAGGATTGTAATGTAATTGACACTTGTTTCTTCACCTTTTCTTTTTCCCTCCATCAACAGCAAAGCAAAATAAATGCAGATTCCAAGTAGGACACATTTTTCCCCCCTTGGTACAACATTAGCTTTTGTATCTCCCTGTTCTACATTGTGTGTCAGCCAAATCTGCAGAATTTTCAGTAAATCCAGCTAGTGCCAGCTATGGAAATGGGCATTTCAGCCATTCCCACTGTGTCCTTCTTATTCTTGGGAATTTTAAATGCCTATAACCATTTAGTTCCCCTATGGTCTTTTGTATAAAAAGTTCACAGTGATACATTCCTTTTCCTCAGCTAGACTTTGTTTTAACAGAACTGTCTACTTAAAATGTAAATGCTTCAGAAACAAAGACATTCTAAATTAATTTCAACAATTAAACATTCAAACTGGTTGGAGAAAGTTCACCAGGGGCTAAATGGATTTCGAGTTGAGAAATATAGATGATGACAAGGCCAGTGTGCTTGACCAGGTACCTCCCTGACCCGGGTATGAAATGGTAACTTGTATAACATGAACTCCTGACTCTACCAGCAGGAAGAAGATGCTGCTTTATCCATTTTGAATTCTAAACAAGATTAGTTGACTGGGACAGTCCCAAGAGACTAAGACCTTCTGTTCAAAACTTGCTAATGGATGATATTTCAATTATTATCAAGGATGACTCTAATTTCTCCGTGACATAGTGGAAGGGGAAAATATAATTCACAAATATTTAAGGAAACTTCATAATTCCATGTTTGTCTAATTGTTAATTCCCTTTAACACCATTTTACCTTCAAAATTCTTCAATCAGTAGAATTTTAGTAATCTTTGTGATAGAAACATAGTAGCTAAAGATGCCAGACAAGTTCCCAGACTACAATAGAAAAATATAGGTGGCCTTTCTTACATCATGTAATTGTAGTTGATGAAAAAGCCTAGACAGTAACTATTATTTAAGTGGTATAATTATATAAAATATTATCCATGTTGAGATATTTTTATTCGATAGTTGAAATAAATACAGGATTTTATTGATTCCCACTTATCTCTTTATTTTATCTGTCATATCTTGTTACATCATTCATTTTTGTCTTCCAGTCACATTTTCTAAAGATGGCCCAACTGGGAGAAATTAAATTTATAAATGTCTTTACAAATTTCATATTCTGCTTTAATATATCATGCCTCATAATATTGACATGAACTACAGGATGAATATGTCAGTATTAAGCCTCAGAACTTCTTAGCATTATTTTTTATGTCTTTCTTCATTATTGGAATCTCAATAATTTGGAGAGATTTTTAAAAAAAAACAACTAAGCACAATTAAAATGCAAAACAAAAAGTGGTAGGAAAGAAGCCAATTGTTAATAATATTAGAATATATTACTTGTAAAAATGACTTTTCATTTGAATAATTTCACTCTGTCTCTCCAAAATCTCTATGTGTATCCTCACAACATTAGTTCATTAAATTCTCTTAGCTCACAATTATATCAATGTATACTTTTATTTATTTATTTATTTATTTTACACAGGGTCTTGATCTATATTTCAGACTGGCCTCTAACTCACCGCAATCCCCCTTCTCCAGACTCCTGAGTTCTGGGATTATAGGTGTATGCCACCACACTTGGATACTTTTAAGTTTCAATTCAAACAATGTTTATTTTTATCTGTTCAAATTAACCAATGAGTTGAACAAAATGAATATCAAGCCAGTGGGCTTCTTGGTTTTCTGAAAGCAAACAAAAAAATGGCCTATAGTGTCACTTTTTAGATACTTTACAGTATTTGATGCAGATTTCATTTCATTTGGGATAAGCTTTCTGACACTCAAGATTCAGGTTTGACATCAGGTTTTCTTTGCCACATCAGCCAACTCTTCACAAGCCCAGCTGTCTTATACTTGTTGCCACTGTATCCATCCTTCCTTATGCCTGTTCTTGATATGTGCCTAAACCATAACTTTATTGAAAGAGAAACGATTACATTCAAGAAAATAATTAAAGATGGGTGATACCATGGAAACCTTCCCAATCAGAATCAGAAACTGATTCAAGATGACTGGAACAATAGAGATGGGAGTCAGTGATATACGTTAGCTACTGCTGAATTTGTCTATTTAATGGCTTCCAGTCAGGGGCAGTGTCACCCCAGGAGACACTTACCAATGCATAGAGGTATTTTTGATTGTCAAAACCAGGAGGAAACACTGCCATCCAGGGTGTAGGAGCCAGGATTGTTGCTGTGGCTGCGATGTACAGGAGACAGCCATGCCCTTTCCAAACAAAAACTAGCTGCCTCGAAATATCCATAATGTCAAGGCTGAGAAATTCTTATTTTTATTGAAACATTTCAAACTTTTACCTCTTATAAGTAGACAAATGATCTTAGTCCAGTTTTAGATGACCAATGTAAATTGCTCTTCTGCTGGGGGGAGGGGAAATGTAACACTCATCAAACATGTGTCAGAAACTCTCCGACACTGACTCTGGTATAATTACAATGCACTGACTGGGAGCACACGCCACACTTATGTGTGATATTCAAAGTCACCGCAAGATCCACATTCTTCCCAGTCTCTTACTGTCTGAACACAATAGGCACAGAGTATACTCAAGAGATTGCGGCATTATTCATCAAAATGGTTGTTGCTGATATGGTGAGTTTTGACTGGAGCTGCCATTTCTCCTTTCCACACAATGAAATACTCCTTTAGAAACAATATGATTCACAACTTTTGTTTTCTTTCAAAACATCAGTATCTGTCCAGTATTTATTTCTTCTCTTCTTACAGCAATAATGTAAATATACCAGAGTGGTCTTAAAAAAAAAATTTAAGAATACAAAGACAACCAGTTCACTTCTTAACAAATCAAATGATTGTCCTTTTGCCAGCCTACCATTCATTCAATGTCAGTTCTCAAGTGTTGGGTCAAAGTCACCAGGATAATGAATCACCAGGGATAAAGACTCTTGGTTTGACTTCTAGAAGCTGAAGGTTCCACATACTCCTGCTTTTTGTCCACTCATTACTTTCCAGTTCTGTAACGTTGACATTGGGAGAGATGGAAGTTCAAACTGATGGCAATGGTTACTCAGCAATGCGGTCCACTCTCATTTTCTCCTGCTTAGTTCACTGGAAGTTACCTCCTTCCCACCAGTTTGACAGCATTACTTTCAACAACCATAGCACTGGTATTCCCATAGATTAGGAAAGCACCCACCACTGGATGAACTTGTGCAAAGTATATTTGCGGCATGTATATACAGTTCCACGCCTCTTCACTATGCTTTTGCTAAAGGGGTGCACGCTGTAGCATGAATTATGTGTATATTTAATGTATCTTCCGGGAATATGCTGTATGCTTAATATAAATATATATATATTCTATAAATAAAATGATAACATGTACAATAGAAATACATATTTCTGTATGCAAATAAATATATTATACACAAAATCTCAATATGCAATGTGGTGTATGTTGCTGCACTTTAGTAAAAGTAGATTCCATGTGCCCCAGTTGCCAAGAAAGTAGTATTTGCATTTGAAAGACGATTTTTCAGAAGAGCCCAAATCCTCTATTAAACTGCTTCCTACTCCTGGAGAGCCTGACACTGATTTTTAAATATTTCTTGGAGAAGTAAATTAATACAACGTGCTGGCATCGCCGCCGCGACCACGGTGCTCTCTTCTGCGCCCTGACGGGCCTCCCATGAGGAGCAGCTTCCCAGCTGGCCTGAGCCCTGCAGCTGTGCTGTCTCGGGTCTGATTGCCTGATGAGGCTGTGCCCCGCGCAATCTCCAACAGCTTCACTCTGTTTCAACTTGACTGATTTTAGTGGAATAAAAAAAATAATCAGACTGGGAGAAGAAAATGACCTTCAGAATGTCGTTTCTTTTTAATCTGACAAACAAGGTAAAAATTCTAACCAGCGGTCTTTTTCAGTTTGGGTCTGCCCCTGCACATGGAATGGGCATAATATTGAACAAAGTACAAAATGCAAGATCCTTCGTGAGACTACACAACGGTTTGTTTCTAAATGCCCTACGTTTCCGTGGGCATCCTCCCCCTCTTCTCTGTTACGCACACCACCACCCGCGCTCCTTGGAGCTCTTGCCCATTAGCACAGATTCACTGTTGTAAGTTGGTGCTCTGCACACTTTCCCAGGAGGTGCCTTCATTTTAACAGGAAAAAGGTAACCTGCCAACATGTAAAAGCTTATTGTTACGCTCCTTACCACTAACTGCCATGCTAAAGATATTTTCCAATTAATTCTAATTTTCCTTATATTTTATGACATATAATAGCTGTATTGATAAATATACCTGAAGTGCCATCAGCATATCAGAGGTCAAAGTTAAATACGGTAGCTATTTGGATTCTACCTGTATCTATAATATATCCACTCTGAAAGTGTTCTAAATGTACCTTTCCTAAAACCACTGCATCGTATATTTTCATGCCATGTAGCTACTTATTCTCTTCATAAGAATTAACTGTCATATTATTTCATTATTCAGAGCAGCTCTCAAGTAAAATCACTTATATTTAAGAGTAATTCCCAACCTGTTCTTACACACATAGGCACAATCGTGCATATTCGAGAACATAACCCAAGTACGGGCCTGGCGGTGCACACCTGTGATCCCAGCGCTGAGGAGGCTGCAAGCAGGAGGGTCACCATGAGTCCACACTGTGTGGTGAGACCCTGTAGCAACCAAATACCTAAAAAAAAGAACATAACCCAAATGAACATATGCAAGTATATGCAAAATGCACATACAACCATATACACACACACACACACACACACACACACACACAAGTCTCACCTTTCATATCTTGACAATGCCCAGCTCTCTACCTCTTTTAAAGACATTTGGAATTTTCTAGAGCTCTGTGACTGGTGTTAAAGAAAATGCTCTACTCGTTCCTGTTTGTGTTATAAGCACTTGACTGTAGAAGATTCTCTCTCACTTGTTAGATCACATGAGTTCCAGCCTGCATTTACCAACAGCCTCCTAGTCATCTCTTCACTGCATTCCCATGATTCCTTGGAGCTATGGCGAGAAAACATGAATAGATAAAAAAAATACATCATAATCCAAAGAAGACTCATTGGGAGGTTCAATCCCTCACAAGAGGCCCCTTGCACGCTGGACCAGCGTGTAGTACAGTGACTTTAATTCAGCTCAATATTCCAATGGCTGAGGAGAGTGTGGCAGTGAGCATTCTCTAACACACCTTCCAAAATCCTCCCAGATGTTCTTCTCAGGTTTATAGCTCTTTAAACCTGTGAGTGATGGACAAATTTAGATTGTTATTTACTCTGAAAGCAAAGAGTTCATTCAATATTCAAAATGCCCGACGTATTGAGTTAGCAGC